TAATAATAACCTGTATTCCGATAAGGACGGAAAATAAACCCAATATTCATTCACGAGATTTATGATACAAGCACTTTTAGCATATGGTACAGTCTTCTTTATTTGCCTGAGCTCGTGTATGTTTTGTATTGCCTGATCGTTTATTACCATGTTTTAGTTCAGTAAGACGCTGCATTGCTCTTTTATTCCCTTGTGCTAATAATAAATCGAACAATTTTCATGTTAGTCTATTTCTATATATCACTATTTATTAAGATTAATAAATATATAAAATGACAATACCTGCAGCACGCATGTACCAACGTTTTGCTTCTTCAAGATTTTGGCTTACACCAATCCCTGATTCCGTATAATAACCTATGGCATATTCTGCTTTTGCAAGGCCTTTATCTGCAGCCTTCCGTGCCCATAAATATGCCTCTGTATCAGATTGTTTTAATATACCCTCTGAACCTGTCAAATACCAACCAGATAATGCTAATTCAGCATTAGGATCTCCTTTTTCGGCTGCACGTGAATAATAACGAATAGATTGTCGAGGATCAATAGGACAACCCAGCTGTCCGTATTCAAAACAAGCACCTAATTTAAAACAAGATGGTGCATAACCTAGATCCGCAGCACGTTTAAATTCTTCAAATGCATGTGCTTCATTTCTGATGAGTGAAGGAATTATTGGTGGTTCATTTTCTGGTTTAGCGTGTAATAATCCTAATTGATGTAATGCATGTGGATTTGTTTCATTTGCTTGAGCTGCAGCACGCTTAAGCCAATTAAGAGCTTCTCGTGGGTTATCATGTTGACCCAATTGTCCTTTTAACATGATCATTCCAAGTTTATACATAGCGGCAGTGTCACCTAATGCAGCTGCTTTACGATAAAATTGAACTGCTCTATGTGGATCTCGTTTTGTTCCACCACCAACTTCGTAACATACCGCCGTTCTATAAGTAGCCGCAGGATGACGTGATTTTGAAGCTTGTTCGTATAAATTAAAAGCTTTCTCAAGATCTCTTTGTAAACCCAATGAACCATTACCATAACAATCTGCAAGATAAAATTGAGCATCTGGATGTGAAGGACGACCCATAGATTGTGTGGCCAAACGTTTCATTAATTTGACACCTTCCTGAAGTAATGCTTCTTTTTTCTTTTTAGTATTTTTAGGATCAGGATCATCAACATGAATTGAAGCAGAAATTAAATATTTAGCAAAAACATATAAAGCATCAGGATCGGTAACCGTTTTCATTTTTTGTCTATATTGATCTATTGCTTCGGGTGTATATTTAGTTTTATCTTCTATATTATTAGGTGGGCCAGAGTTTCTTTGACCAGAATATCTATTTGTATTTTCCATATAAGGTTGTTGAGCTGGTTGACCATAATAAGCTCTAGAACCATATTCATCTTGTGGACCATAATATTGATCCTGATAATATTGATGAGGATTCATACCACCATAATAATCATCACTAGGAGGATAACCTTCACTGGGAGGATAACCTTCACTAGGAGGATACCCATCACTAGGGGGATACCCATTGTTAGAAGGATATCGTTCACCCGGAGGATATCGATCGTTAGGAAGATATCCTTCGCCAGGAGGATATCGTTCGCTGGGAGGATAACCTTCGCTAGGAGGGTAACCTCTATGATAATCATAACCATACATTTCTTGATTTACATTATCATAATCATAAGGTTGAGTTGGATAATAATTATACGAATCTTCAGTATATATGGAAGCAGTATCGTAAGGTTGACCCCGAGGATAAAATTCCTGACTGTCTTTGGGAGGAGGATAGTCCTGAGGATGATATTGATTATTATTATAATAATAATTCGGAAAGTTTTGATGAGTTTGGATGGAAGGGTCAGAATCTGGAGGATAATGACCATAATATTGCTCTTCAGGGCCATAATTAGGATGTTCCCTTTGTTGTGAAAAAGGGAGGAGGGGGACCTTGCATTTGTTGATTAGGAGGAGGACTTTGCATTTGTTGATTAGGAGGAGGAGGACCTTGCATTTGTTGATTAGGAGGAGGAGGACTTTGCATTTGTTGATTAGGAGGATAGCCTTGCATTTGTTGATTGGGAGGAGGATAACCTTGCAGTTGTTGATTGGGAGGAAGATAACTCTGCATTTGTTGATTGGGAGGAGGAGGACTACCTTGCATTTGTCGACCGGGACCTTGCATTTGCTGAGTAGGGGGAGGACTTTGCATTGGTTGGTTAGGAGGAGGAGGACCTTGCATGTGCTGGTTAGGACGAGGAGGACCTTGCATTTGTTGATTAGGACGAGGACGGGGAGAGCTTACTCTTTGTGGAGTAAATGAACCTTGAGATGGAATTGGTACACTACGATCGTCACCAATCTTCATACTTGCCATACGTGAAATTGTAGCATCAATAGAAGTTTCAGAAGTTACAGAAGACCGAGCTTGTCCATAATTTTCATAACTTCTATCAGAAAAACGTTGGGTGGCGGGTAATGGAGCGCGATGTTCCCCATAATATGGATCCTGACCTTCTTGAGGATACCCGCCTCGTTTACTCATTT